ATCTGCCTTTTAATTTTCAGAAAAAAAGGGTCCTAGTTTCTATTTTTTTAAGTCCTTCCTTTCTATTGTAAACTTCATTTAATGAACATCAACAACTTTCAACCCCTCCCTTCTTATCTTTTTCATAGTCAAAGTAAGCTTTGAAAAGAGTTATAATAACTAATTATAAACTGTGAAATATTTTTTTAAGGGCTTGGCCATTAAATGTACAACTATATGTACATCATCATATTATGTAAATATTCTTAGATGATATTTTGTAAGCCAAGTCAGAGAAATTAGCACAGGACTGACAGCCTGTGTTTTGTTAATATATCTTCAGTTGAGGAAATTTTAAAGAATTTTGCAATTTTGAGAGAAACAAATTACCATCTTTTCTTTGTTTATAACACAACTGTTTCTTAGTCTTAGAAATGCAGGTGTGTACATTTTCCATTATTAAGACATCCATTTTCTTTCTCAATTTTAATAACACCTCATATTCTATTAAAGGAATGATAAATGCAGGGATGGGACCAACTCATCTGCAGAACTTTCTAGCAGAATGTTACCTGCCATCCATTACAGAGAGCACATTAAGGAAAAAAGAGAAAGAATTAAGTGGACAGATTAAAAATGTAATAATCCATTCGTGCAATATGGCACAAAGAGAGGAAAAGTCACTCAGCACAAATGGCAATGTAAGTATTAAATGTATGCACATAAAGTGGAGTATCCAGACTGGATGCCCTTTTCTAGAAAACTAAGTCTTTTTTACCCCCCCAAAAAAAAATCCTTATGTTGTATAACTTTTCATGCAGCACATCTAAAAAAGTCCTAGATCCTAGATTTAATTCAAGGGACTTAGGTAATATATATGAGAATTATAATACAATTTGATCATGTAATGCTACATTGTATATATGTACAGGTATGTCATATGAAAGTAACATCAAACATGTTTTTGAAGTGAAGCTGATTTTTTATCATTTCATGGTTTCATGCATCAAGAATCATTCAAAGAATAATTTAACAAATAACAGTGTCACAGAAGACCAGCAGAATTTCTTTAAAAACAATAATTTCTAATTGTGTATTTGGTATGCAGTCACTGCAAATGTTTGTTTCTGCATACATATGCATCCAAAAGATTTGTTTGTGTTCTTAATAATGGATTTTGAGCTTACTACAAAACTAGGTATCTTAAAGGTGAAGGTAAATGTTTAAGGTCAATCTATAAAAAAACTTGCTGGGACTTTTTTTTTATAAGAAATGTTATCTTTTCTAGATTGAAGCAAGTTTTGACGGTGGCTGGCAAAAGAGAGGCTCCGGTTGGAATTATAATAGTAATACAGATAAATACACAGCATTAATATTATATAATTTAATGTCTGACATTCATGATTTAATTACTGTATTTTGTTAAATTTTGCTGAATCAATTATTAATATAAATAAATTAATTGGACAAAGAATTAATTTCACTATTTAGTTTGATATAAGACATGTAAGAAGCTGTAGTTAAAGAGATATATTCCCATACTTATTTTTATTCAATCCCTAGGCTAGATCTCTTTAACTTACCTGATTCAATTATAGCAAATAGGTGAGCGTTTGCCATCATTTTGCATACATTATAGAAGTAAGATGTGTTACATGATTGCCAGTGACTCAACTGTCCACCAGAGCTCAAATGAATTGGAAGTAGGCAATTATAGCTACACAGCTATAAAACCTTCAACAATGAGAAAAACTTATATCCAACATGAAAAATACCAAACAATTCAAATGAAAAAAACTTACGGCGTAATTTATAACAAAACAATTTATGAAGAAAACATGACAGATATTAACTAACAACTACCACTGAACTACAGGCTCTTTATTATCAGTATCTGTCCGTCATATTAATCTGTAACATTACATCTGTTAACCTTTCATTAAAATATCCATTATCTTACACCCCTAAACAAATTGAAACAAAACTGAAATTTTTTTTTACTAAACTGTTTATCATTGCATCATGTATGTAATACCTTTCACTTTAATTCTTGCAGGACATGCAACTTTTATTGGAAAAGAGACAGGAAAGGTGTTGTCCTTTGATTTAAGAAGTAAGGCTTGTAAGACTTGTGAATTCCATCTAAATAGAAAAGAGACTGTTCCGGAGCATGAGTGTCATTTGAATTGGCATGGCTCTAGTAAATCCATGGAGGCAGATATGGCGGTGTCTATGGCCCACAGATTAAAAGATGATGAAAGTGAAATTAATGGTAAGTTTCATATTCAAAATAAAGAATTTTGAAAAACAATTTCATGTAATGAGTTCTCCAAAATGCATTGAAAATATCATATAAAGGGAAATAACTCTTATTTCAACAATAATTTCAAATTTGAAAGGTGAATATTTTGTGATTTTTACAGGAAACTTGAATTTTGTTCTCACACTTTTATGACAAAGAATCAATTAATTTTGTTGTTAATGATATAACATGATCAATGTCATGTAAAAATCCAGTTTATATTTATTTTAGTTGCTTTATTTACATTAGCTACATATTATTAAATGAGGCAGAATATAACAGCTATCACTATTTTCCAAATAAAAAATATGCTTGCAGTTGTATATCTTGACCGCTGTTGTGTATCCTTTTTGTAGGTTCATAATTCTTCAATCTTCATTTCAGTCAAACATGCTGATAATGATGCAGCAAAATCAGCCAGACTTGAAGTTGAGTTTGAAAATATAAAGAAAAAAGATGACCAGAACCATGTAAAGAAGGGGATATCAACAAGCTTATATAATATTTCAAAGAGGTATTTTTACAAATTAATTTTAGTGTTACTAATATGTCTATGAAAAGGCTTAAGCCCATCCTTAACCAAATCAAATCATACTTATAGATCTTATTATATTGATCTGTCAAGACTACTAACTCTAAAAGAAAATTTACAATGAAATTTCAATTTTGTGTTGTTCAAAGACATATAAAGATCTTTATGTTATCTGAATTCACAAACATTACATTGAAAATTGAAAGAAGTATTAGTATATATGAGTAATCTTCATGGCTTATGGAACGACCAAATAGTTTTTAGTGAGGCTATCTGAAGTTTAGAATAGAAAGGAAGGACTTTAAAAAAATAGAAACTAGGACCCTTTTTTTCTGAAAATTAAAAGGCAGATGCATGAATCCATGATTGAAGATTAAATCCATGCCCATAAAAGTCTGAAGGGTGCTTGCTCCCTCAATAGTATAGACAGATAAGCAATAAAAAAAGAAGACTTTTTTAATTTTTTTTTTACATTAATTATTTGTTTCTTATTTTGTAGTTACAAAGAATTGCAAAAGGATGAAACAAACAATATATATTGAGGTGCTTTATGTATTCCATTAAGGGAGGTGACAATGAAGATGACATTAAGATTGGGCTGCAAAGAATTGTACCCCATATTTTTGGATCACATGAATATTGTAAAGATGCTGACTGGTGTAGCTATCATCAAGATCCAGAAAAATTTACGTAAGATCTTCTATACTGGTATTGGCAACATATTATTTTCTGTATTGTCTTATTTCTCAAAGAATTAATAGATATAATAAGATGTGGTATGAGTGCCAATGAGACACCTCTTCCATCCAAGTCACAATTTGTAAAAAGGAACCAATTATACATATGTCAATCCTAAAAATTGATTCCTTAATATGCTGAATCTAACCTTGTGTTAAGTTTTTGGATTTTGGCCCGGTTTTTAAATTGGTCCACATTGAGGTCCAAAGGGTCAAAAATTAAACTTTGTTTGATTACATCAAAAATTGAATTATAGGGGTTCTTTGTTATGCCAAATCTAACTGTGTATTTAGAATCTTAATTTTTGGTCCCGTATTCAAATTGATCTACATTAAGGTCCAAAGGGTTCCAAAATTAAACTTTGTTTGTTTTTAACAAAAATTGAATTCATTCAGTTCTTTGATATGCTGAATCTAAACATGTATTTAGAATTTTGATTATAGGCCCAGTTTTCCAGTTGGTCCAAATTGGGGTCCAAAATTAAACTTTGTTTGATTTCAACAAAAATTGAATATATGGGGTTCTTTGATATGCTGAATCTAACCATGTATTAAGTTTTGGATTTTGAACCCCAGTTAAATTGGCCCACATTGAGGACCAAAGGGTCCAAATTAAACTTTGTTTGATTTCATCAAAAATTGAATTATAGGGGTTCTTTGATATGCCGAATCTAACCTTGTATTTAGATTTTTAATTTTTGTCCCGTTTTCTAATTGGTCTACATTAAGGTCAAAGGGTCCAAAATTAAACTTTTGTTTGATTTGAACAAAAATTGAATATATGGGGTTCTTCGATATCCTGAATCTAACCATGTATTTAGATTTTTGATTTTGGGTCCCGTTATCAAATTGGTTCACATTGAGGTCAAAAGGGTCCAATATTACATTTTATTTGATTTCATCAAAAATTGAATTCTTGGGGTTCTTTGATATGCTAAATCTAACCATGTATTTAGATTTTGGATATTTGACCTTAATAGGCAAATGTCCAATTTGAAAATTTTAAGTTCTTAGACTACATTCATTTTGAGTCAGAAACATATGCTGTGTCAAATTTTAATCACAATCCAAATTCAGAGCTGTATCAAGCTTGAATGTTGTAGTATCAAGCTGCACCCTCTTTTTGTTCTAAGAACTCCCCTTTTTTTCTGAACAACTCCTGCCCCTATTTTAAAATTTCTTGATCCGCCCATGTACAGAAATATTGAACATAAACTAATACTAAATATTAACACTCAAGTTTCAGGCTAAGTATTTTCTGCAAATAAAAATTTGATATGTAAATTTTATTTTCATTTTATTCAACTCCATTTTTGGTATAAAAGTTTACCAAATGGGAAACCGCTCAAGTCTGAAGGATTAAAGGTTGAATTGAATAATTTAGTGCAAAAAATGATTGGTAAGAGTAATTCTTTAAATGATCTTGGATCTACACAGTCAAAGGAAAGCTTTAACCAGCTTGTATCTGTAAAGGCACCTAAATCAAGGTAATTTGTATATGGTATTTGCATGTCAGTTCACATTCTTAAGCAACAATGAATATAAGTATAAAAAATATGTTGTATAATTACCAGTAAGACAACTTTACACAAGAGACCAAATGACACAGAAATTAACAGCTATGGGTCACAGTAAGTCCTTTAACGATGAGCAATTGTCATATAACATAGTAAGCTATAAAAGGCCCCAATCCACAAATTTATGTATAGATATAAAAAGATGTGGTATGAGTGCCAATGAAACACCTCTTCCATCCAAGTCACAATTTGTAAAAAGAAATCAATTATTCATATGTCAAAGTACAACATTCAACACAATTGAAACAAGAAAACTAACGGCCAAATTAATGTAAAAAGTGAATAAATGAAAAACAAATATGTAACATTGCAATTACTGACAGCTAGTTCAAAGCCAATAACAAAAAAACTGATGCATCTATGACTTAATTATCTTGTCAGGGCTTTAAATTTTTCATAACCTGACTTCTAAAAGTGATGTACATCCATCTCTCCAACTCAAGTTAACAGGCAGGTTGAAGTTTATTAGTTTTCAATGAAGGGAGTTAATACTATCATAGTGAAACTTTATATAAAAATATTAATCTTTTGCAAAGGGTCTTCATATTTGGTGAGTTGGTATGTAACTGTTACCTGCACCTTTGACATCAAGTTCAAATAAGGGAAGAGGGGAATATATTTTAATGTACTTAAAAAGTTCTTCATACTCTTTTTTAGACATTATGGTGGATCATGCTCACTTCAGAATAGGCTATCTGCAGCTGTGCTTCAGAAAAATGAAGGATATGGCTACTTATCCAAAGTAACTATGAACATTTTTACATTTTCTTTTTGAACGAAGGGTGACATAGTGTTTGAATATGATTTCTTCTTTTTCTTTCCTCTTCTTTTCTTTCTTCTTCTTCATCTTCTCAGAAAAGCCTGTTCAGACCATACTTTATTAATCTTTTGATATAGCATATAATGAATTTTTAGTATGTGGGTATATCACTTGTGTCAAGTTCCAGGATTGGTAACTAAGACCTTGACCTAAAGTTCATTAAAATTAAATTTCTAGTACTATCTTTATGTCCACTCCATGTCTTTTCGTCCGTCTGACCTTACTCTTATCCTCTTTCCCTTTCTCACTCTAACTGAAGTTTGCCTCATCACGGAAAGTGAGTCACTTACTGTTCTAGAGTCATGCCTCTTTATAACTTAGAAAATTGCAAATTGTTTTGTTTCCTTACTCTAAGGTAAGTTTGTCTGATACAACTTTTATAAAACTGATACATATAAGAATCACAACACTCAGACAGAGTTCAAATTTGTGTTCTGACTCAATTATCAACCTATAGTTCTGTCCCTTTTTAACTTGGAAAATTTCAAAGCTACAGCGGAGGCATTCATGACATCTTACACATTCTCCTCTGATAATTTTTTATCTTTTTGAAACCATGTTACATGTTGCATCCAATGTTTATATACCAAGTGATTACTGTATTACTTTTTTAGCCCTGCATATTGTTCACTTTACAGTCAGAAATCATGTATTTCTAGTATGTAACTCAATTATCTTCTTTCTTCTCAAATTATTATCAGATGTGGTATGTGTGCTAATGAAACAACTATCCATCCAAGTCACGATATATAAAGAGTTACCATTATAGGTCAAAATATGTGTTCAAGTAGGAGATAACTGTTTTTTTCTTGATTTTTAATATTTTAATGCATATATGTAATACATTTTAATAATGTTGCATTTTTTTAGATCAATGAAGCAGCAAACCTCCAGGAGAATTTACAATGGCAATTTCCTCTGTAAGAGATAGAAAAATGGAAAAAAGAAAAGAAAAGAAGAATTCAAAGGAATATAAAGTTGGCCGTATACAAAATAAAAGAAACCGCAATAAGAATGAGCGTAAACATCTGGTAAGAGAAGGGAAAACCTATGGATCTCAAATGGAATTTGATCTTCAACAGAACCCTGAGCAAACCACAGAAATTCCACTCCTTTTAATCTAGATGGCACTGAATGCAAAGTGTTTTTTTATTTAGAAACAACAGGCTTGGGCAGGAATAGCAACACCATTCAGATAGGAGCTAAGTCAAATTCAAATAGTTTTAACAGATATGTCATACCAAGAGTGGACATTCAGATCGAGGCAAGTAAGATTACTGGTATAACATACAGCCATGGAACAAATAAAATGTAAGTTCGGGGAGAAATAGTTGAACCTGTGACACTACATAAAGCCCTACTTGATTTTATACACTTTTTAAAGGAACAGAACCAGCCAATTATACTAGGTCATAACATTTGTAACTTTGACATTACTGTAATTGTTAACAAATTGAAAGAATATAATTTGTTTTCGACATTTTGTGAAACCGTGAAAGGTTTTATTGACACAATGAAAGTGGCTGGAAAATATATTCCAAAAAATGATGAATAAAATTTTAAGCAGCAGATTCTTGTCAAACAGTTTGTAGGAATAAATTACTCTGCCCACAATGCAATAGAGGATGTGGATTCATCAAAAACATTATACGACAGTAAATTTACCTCGCTAGTGAAATCTGATGATGTATTTTCCATTTTATACCACAATTGCATGGACTCCTACTCTGACTTACCAAGTAATAAAATAGTTTCAAGGCCAGTTTGCATGCAACTAGCAAAAGATGGTATATCGTTGAAACACCTCAAACTGGCATCTGTACGAGATGTAAATGGACTGAAATTTGTCTTACAGGACCATAAGATACCACCAAAGAGTGTGAAATGCTTTCAGGACTACTTTCAGACTGAGGAATGCATTTTGTATTGCCAAAAAATAAATATATGTCTGTGTTTTCCTATAACCTGACTGTGTCTTCCCTGATACTTGTTTTATTATTCTCCCAACACAATGAGTTGCCAAGGATATGATGTTTCAGTCTATCCTATTCTTGTTAGTTCAACTCCTTAAAAACCGCACAACAGAATTTAATGAAACTTGGAAGGTGGTAAGAATGCAATAAGTGTGTATATTACAAAGTTCTATGAAATTTTAATTCCCTGCATTATAATTTCATATTTTGAGTTATAGTCCCAGGTCAATTGACACTGAAAAATAAATACCTTGCCATTTTTATCTGCAAAAAAATTACCGCCAAAGTCAAACATACTAGTGGTTGGATATTGTACTCTATGAAATAAATATTTCAAAAATCATTTATCTGAAGCTACTAACATAAAATGAACCAAACTTTAAAGTCTCATGAAGGTCAAATTTGCAAGGAACATACCACTTTATGATAATACATCCATATATGCCAAAGATGTAAGACCTAGTTCAAAAGTCATGGCCTAGTCATTTTCCTACAAAAAACTACATTAAGTTGACCTTATGGTCAAATTTCAAGATCACATGAGGGTCATCAAGGTGCAAGACACATTACCTGATGATGATACATCTACATATCAAACATCTAAGACCAAGGTCAAAAGACGACAAGGCATGGTAAAGTGTTTATAGTAAAAAAAAAATTGACCTTGAGGTCAAATTTAAGGTCACATGAAGATCATCACAACACAGGACACTCCATCTCATTATGATACATCCTCATACAAAAGATGCAAGACCTAGGTAAAAAAAAAAAAAGCATATGGCCTTGATTTCTATCAAAAATACATTTATTTGACCTTCAGGTCAAATTTCAAGGTCACATGAAAGTCATTATGATATGTGACATTCTACCTCATGATGATACTTCAACATACCAAAGATCTAAGACCAAAAATAACAAACTGATATAGCACTACAAATGGTTAGTTTTAAAAAAAAATTAAACGACACATTTTTTTTTTTTTTAAATTTCTTCTTCAAATACTTGACCCATCATATTCACTTTTGGGGGCTGAATCTGAGACCCTCCTTTTTTAATTCGGACAAAAATTTAAATCCAGAATAGAAAAAAAATACAAGTAAAGGGAATAGGTGAACTAAAATTCTCCTCGGTTTTCACTATGCTTTTGTCAATTTAGGAACAATTTTAATTTTTTTAACATATATACCTATGATAAAAGAGATGATTTTTCATTTCCTATCGTTAATTTTCCATTTTTAGATGGTGACGTTCCCTTGTCACCATCTTATGGTGTTTATATATCTCAACTTGTACGATTTTCTCGTGTATGTAACAACGTATTAGATTTTAGCGAGAGAAATTTATGTATTACTGAAAATTATTACACCAGGGTTTTCGATATCATAAACTAGTCAAACCATTTACTAAATTTTATCATCGGTATAAGGACATCATTCCTAAATATAACTCAACATGCAGACATCTTATACGTTCGGGTATTTCACATCCAATCTTTTATGGCAATATTCTTTACAAAGCACAAAAATGTCAGTATTCACCTCAAAAGCTAACAAAACCTTTAAACAGACTTATTAAGAAGGGATATAGTTACGATACTGTTGTCAGGGCATTAAAGATTGCATATTTTGGCTTTAATATTGATTCACTTATAGGGTCTTTGCATCGGAATTAAACACATTTATTCCAAAAAAACAGTTGTTGGCATGATACGGGTTATGTTCTTCTCATATATTTTATGATGGTATGATACTAAACCCCTGACGGGAGGGATTGTACTTGGTTTTCATATGATGAAGACATAATCTTTCAATCAGTTTAATTGAGGTCTGGAGCTGGCATGTCAGTAACTGCTAGTAGTCCTTTGTTCATTTATGTATTATTGTCATTTTGTTGATTTTCTTTTGTTTCCTATTCTGACATCGGACTCGGACTTCTCTTAAACTGAGTTTTACTGTGCGTACTGTTGTACGTTTGTTTTTTCTACATTGGCTAGAGGTATAGGGGGAGGGTTGAGATCTCAAAAAACATGTTTAACCCCGCCGCATTTTTGCGCCTGTCCCAAGTCAGGAGCCTCTGGCCTTTGTTAGTCTTGTATCATTTTAATTTTAGTTTCGTGTGTTTAATTTGGAGTTTAATATGACGTCAATTATCACTGAACTAGTATACATATTTGTTTAGGGGCCAGCTGAAGGACGCCTCCGGGTGCGGGAGTTTCTCGCTGCATTGAAGACCCATTGGTGGCCTTCGGCTGTTTTCTGCTCTATGGTCGGGTTGTTGTCTCTTCGACACATTCCCCATTTCCATTCTCAATTTAAACCTATACCCATATTTCTGAAACTACCAAATTTGGCTGATATTAGCATGTTAAAGATGCCATATTCGAGTTGCCAAATCTTTTAAACTTAAGGTTCAAATCCTTCGAAATTTTTATAAGATGTTTAGCTTTGCCTAGTTTATCAATGGGATAAAAACAAGAAAAATTAAACGACAGGTTTTTTTTTGGTGTATATCGTTGGGTACCCCCGTAAAGACAACATTTATTTTTGAAATATTTATGATATAGGATTTAGTTACCATGTACGTCATGATTTATGGATGCATAACTATAAAATACACAATGATGATCAATATAAATTAATAAATAGAAAGTTATGATACTGTTTAATGGGAGTTAACTTTTGTTAAAATATAAGACAACATTTCTTGTGAATAAAATTTTAATTCGCGTCAAATAATATATATCACTTAAGGTATATATGCATGTTGACTATAATTGATCGTAATCCCGTACTTTGGACAGGTTACACTGTTATAAAGGTTATATTATATCGTAATATCTTACTCCTATATAAATATTTCATACATCATTGCAAAAGTTGTATTCTTGATCAGAGATAAACAGCTCAAACTAATAAACAGATATATTATATACATTGTAC